ACCCTAAACCCTAAACCCCGAATGCTGAAAGCCCTCCCATCCGACTGGGAGCCTTGTACGGCCCCTCCGCGTGGGCCAGCTCGGGCTTGGCTGAGAGGATCAACCTTGCGAGCTGCAGGGGGGCCTTCCGAAGTTTGAGGGTGTTGGGGTTTAGGGTTTTAGGGTTTAGGGTTTAGGGTTTAGGGTTTAGGGTTTAGGGTTTAGGGTTTAGGGTTTGGTGTTGGGTCTTGGGATAGCTGTCCCTGGAAGTGAAGTTGAGATTTTGGTACTGCTAATGTTGGCAAGCATCGTCTTGCAATCCACGGTGCTCTTGTATCCGTTGTCATCCTCCATGCTATGGCTACTTCCAAGCACTGGTGCTCACTCCTAGGATGTCGCCATCATAGGTGAGACGGAACCAACGAGAAAAAACGGGGCCCAGTTGGCTGGCCGCCACCTCAGTTTGCCACGAGCATCGGTCTCGTGAATCATGGCACACATCGCCTGCTGAACCGCAACGTGCTCTGTTAGGCCGCTGTCAAGCAGATAAGAGTAGAACCCGCTCATGAAGACTTGGCTGGAAGCATCACCGGTGTGCCAGAGGGTTCCCATTACCAAATCAGCTCCGGCCACAAGGAAGGAGCGGGTTAGACCAAAGACTCCGTCGGCACCCACAGAGCCCCGACCGGTGTTGCAAGCCGACAGCACAACCACCCTGGAGCTAATCCTGAGAGCCTGAATCTCTGATGCTGGAAATATGGCGGAGGCCGGCGTTCCGTGCAAGACCAATGCTGGCTGCTCCAGCAGACCATGTGTCGCAATGTGAATCAAGTGCGTTGCGTGTGGACAGCGGTCAACAAAACTCTGTGCACTGGCTTCATGTTCCATCACATGCTGAACTACAATCCCCGCGCGACCACATGCTTCACAAACTCCCTTGCACTCAGACGGAACTGACGGCAGCGGCTGTAGTTGCAACTCGGTGTGCCCACTGAATTTCGAAACGCCAACAACCAGCGCAGTTGGAGTCAGTGCTGGCATTCGAGAGATCTGCTCCCGCCGCCTGGATATTTGCATCAGGGTCTGAACAGATGGGGCCAGCCTGATTGAGAACTTCTCGATTAAGTACTTTCCTGACGGGAGCTGGAGTGCTGCAAAGGGAAACATCCACAAGTGATGATCCGGCACTATGATGAGATGCTGTTCCTCGTCCAGAAGATGCTCGACTGGCTCAATCAGAGCGCTATAGCAACACTTCAAACGCTCTTGCGCTTGCCTCCTGCTGATTATGGGTAATCTCCAGCCCCTTGCATCAAAGTCTGCCCCGCTAGCATCCTCGTCTGACTCTTGGGCGACGCTGGCCTCGGGCGTCTTCAAATCCCCACGCACCGTTTCCGCCATCTTCCCCAGAATCAAGTCATCCTCTTTGAACATGGGCGCAACGTTGGTGAGCACGTGTCCTCGAAACTCCCCAAGGCTGCTCACAACCCATGCACAAACTTCATGATCTGCTAGCACTGAGAAGTACAATAGCGCAGCCTTGTTCGCAGCCGCCACACTGGACAGGTCAGCAATCTCGAGAGGCCCCGCGCTCCGAGCACTCTGCTCCAAGCAGCGCCACGAAGGACCGCGCCCTGCTACACTCTGTTACTCTCAGAGCCTCCTTGGCATCACCTGCCCGCAGGAGCACGCGCTGCAGGCTGACACTGATGATGGAGGCTAGGGGATCATCTCTGAATGAGCGACTGACAGAATCCTCATGCAGGTGAAGCCAGCGTTGCCATGATGATGCATCTGCTTCTTTCAGATATTCGATTGCCTCGGGGAAGTTGCCCATGAATTCATACACCAAGCCAATCATCAGCAAGATGTCTTCTTTCAGGGATCCTTTGTACATAGCTCCCGGTCCCTGAGGCCTTTGCATCACGAAATCTCTTGCCTCCAGGAGTAGCTTCAGTCCACGCTTCACATCGAGGGTTTCCTTTAATGCACTTGAAGACGGATCCAACAATGGAAATCCACACATGCACTTTCCGAATTGAGTGAGAGCGACCAGGTAAGCAGAATGCCGCCAATCAGAATCTTTGGAAGCAGACACCTCAGCGTAAGCTTCATTTGACAACTCCAACCCGGAATCCACTCGACCGAGTCTGCAGTAAGCAGCACCCATTCGAGCACAGCTTTGTATCCTCGAAGCAGCAATCTGTTCACGATCACGATCACTCATCTCACGGTTTTCTGATTCAGCATCGCGAGCAACATTGACACACTCAGCAAAGCTCTCTGCCGCCCGTTCCGGACAGCCTTGTCGCAGAAGAGCAAAACCCTTGTTGTGCAACAGCGTGCAATGTTCCACAGAATCACCAGCTGAGCCCGCCAATGCAATACCCTCGTCATATGCGGCACAAGCATCCTCACTCTGGTTCACGTGTGCGTAACCAAGCAGTCTTAGCCTCAAGTAAGTTCCCGTGAAACATCTTCCGTCTGCAATCTGCCAACGCATCTTGGCACTGCTGAGTAGGTCCCAAGGGAGGCGATGCAAACATGAAGCTGGGTGAAACGGTTGAGGTTTAGGCTTTAGGGTTTAGGGGCGACTGTTGCTGGAAGCAGAGGTTTGATTTCTCTCTCGCAATTCTGAGGCTGAGTCTGATGCAGCAGTCGCAGCACTACGAGGCCGGCATACGCATTAACAATCGTTTCTAGCCTATACATCAAGAGGACATGACCATCTTTGGCCACATGTAGGGCAAACCACCTGCGAGCTCAAACCGAGCGGGTGCGCATCTGCAGACTCGCAGATAGCGTGCATGGTCAAGTCGACTTTGGTCTCATACCGACGGCAACTAGCCAAAAGGGTTTAGGGTTTAGGGTTTAGGGTTTAGGGTTTAGGGTAAGAATAAGTGTATGGAAGGATGACTCTGGCAACAAAATCTGAAGACTCACTTCAACAGTTGGAAAATCCGAAACCCTTAGCCCAGTGTGGTCTCCTACGGCCGAACAACGGCTTCAAGAACACCCCTACACAGGAGCGCGATCCCGGCCACCCCAAACACCCAAACCTGTGTGCGCTGAACTTCTCAACCCCAAAGTCCTAATCTCGAAACCCTGATCCCTGAACACCGCCACAAGAAAAAATCGAAACCTCCACGGACATGAAAAAAAAACAGCTTGCTAACAAGAAGTTTATCTCTGGTCATCAACAACATCATCACCACCATCATTCATCCTTCACCACCCTCCTCCTCGTCCTCCTCCGCCTCCTCCTCCTCCTCCTCCGCCTCCGCCTCCGCCTCCGACTCCGCCTCATCATCATCATCATCATCATCATCGTCATCATCACCATCACCGTCACCATAGCTATCAACATCGCAACTTTTATCAACATCCCCG